AGGAAAGTCATCGCTGAGAAAGTTGAAGACATGCTAAAGAAGGGCGTCATATAAGAATCGTGTAGTCCGTGGGCAGCTCCTATCATTCTAGTCAGGAAGAAGGATAATTCATGAAGATTTTGCGTAGACTATCGCCGCCTAATTGCCATCACAAAAAAGGACGTCTACCCATTCACGTAAAGATGACGCCGTGGACTGCCTGCATTCTGCCTCCTATTTTTCTTCTGTTGACTTGCGTTTTGGGTATGGGCAAATTCCTATGCATCCCTCAGATGAAGAGAAGACGGCTTTCGTAACATCTGACGATCTTTTTGAGTTTAACATTTTGCGCTTCGGTTTGTACAATGCTCCAGCAACACTCAAGAGATTCATGGATACAGTACTCCGTGGACTAAAATGAGAAATTTGCATGTGCTATTTAGATTACGTGATTATCTACAAAAAGACTTCAAGAGCATAACCACCGCCTCTCACTTGTGTTTGAATGCTTACATGAAGCTGGCCCTGTTTTAAACTAAAAAAAGTGCCATATTGGATAACATCAAGCCTTCGTATTAGGCTTTCTCATGGACAAAGAAGGCCATACGACCAGACCCACAGAAGACCTCAGTGGTTCGCAAATTTGAGCAACCTCGAACAGTGAAGGACCTGCGAAGTTTTCTGGGTCTATCCTCATATTTCCGCCGACTTATTAAGAACTTCGCACAACTTGCCTCCCCACTGACGTTTCCTTCTTCATAAAGACACACCATACTTTTGGGATGATAAATGTGAGGCTGCATTTCAACATCTGAAGTTTTCATTAACTTCAGGAACCATCCTGAAGCATTTTGATCCTGACGCTTTCACTTAACTTCGTACTGATGCTAGTGGGCTAGGTGTTGGTGCTGTGCTGGTCCAACTCTGCAACAGCTGTCAGCACGTCGTAGCATATGCCAGTTGGACACTGACCAGAGCAGAGAAGAGCTACACCATCACCGAGCTCGAGTGCTTAGCAGTCGTCTTCACCATTCAGAAGTTTCGACCGTATTTACATGGCCACGAGTTCACAATAGTGACTGATCATCACTCACTATGCTGGCTTGTGAGACTTCGCGACCCGTCAGGCCGGTTGGCTCGTTGGGTGTTGAGCCTCCAAGAGTACAGCTTTTCTGTGACCTATAAGAGCGAACGATGTCACACGGATGCTGACTGCTTATCCCGCCTTCCTTCAGTACACACCGATGCTGACGACGATGACATCAATGACTATTTTCTGTTTCGTCCGACTTCCCACATACCAGCAGCTTCAAACGTGTGCAACAGCGCGACCCTACCTTGAAATCCTTGCTCAAAGCTGCACATAACTCCACTGATAAGCACTTTACAATTTCAAATAGCTTGCTGTACAAAAACTGTTCAGCCGACGGCCTCCCGTTGCTTCTAGTGATGCCGAAAAGCCTGCGCCAAGTCGTCCTTCGTTCTATGCACGATGACATAACATCCGGTCATTTCAGTTTCACACATACGCTACATCGACTACATGAGAGGTTCTACTGGCCGAAAATGTGGAAGACCACAAAACAGTACGTCGCCAGCTGCGCTATAATGTCAGCGCTACAAGCGATCCACCACTGCCCCGGCAGGTTATTTGCAGCCCATCCCTCCATCGACATCCCCTTTTGAAAAAGTTGGCATCGACTTGCTCGGACCCGTTTCTAAGACCACATCTGGCCACCGATATGTCATAGGGTGCCTGGATTATTTAACTCGTTATGCGGAAACGGGCGCACTGACATAGGCCACAGCAGCCGCTGTTTCCTCTTCTGTTATAACGGGTCATACTGCATTGTCATCAGTGACCGTGGATGGCAATTTATCGCCGATGTGGTTGAAAAAATTTTGTGCCTCTGTGGCTCCTCTTATCTCCACTCCACCCCTTACCTTCCGCAAACTAACGGTCTGACTGAGAGAACGAATCGAACTCTTACGAATATGCTATCGATGTACATAGATGCTGACCACAGGAACTGGGACGCCATCTTACCGTTTGTTACTTACGCATATAACACCGCCAAGCATGAAGTTACTGAACATTCGCCTTTCTTTCTGCTTTACGCACGAAGCCCACATAGTTTTCTAGACACTCTCTTACCTTTTTCACATGAGTAAGATCTGTCCATCGCTCAGACGTTGTCTCGTGCTGAAGAAGCACGTCAACTAGCGCGCCTTCGAACATTGTCTCCTCAAGAACACAGCAAGAGTCGCTACGATGCCAAGCATATCCCCGTAGAGTTTTTTCCTGGCGACTATGTTTGGCTGTGGACTCCTGTTCGTATAAAAGAATTGTACCAAAAGTTTCCAGCAAAATATTCCAGCCCACTCGTGATAGTCGCTCGTCTCAGTGACGTGAATTACGTTGCCGCCTGAGTCACAGCCAATAACCGGCGTTCGCGCGTTACGCAAATTGTTCACGTAGCCCGCCTCGAACAATACCATCATAGGCACATGCAACTCGCTCGACGAGCTTCGTCTGTTGCCGGGGGAAATGCAACGAAGATGTGCGAGCGTAAGGGACGCGGAAAAATAAAAGTAGTGGCGCCAGCGCTTGCACTGTGTGGTTGGGTGAACCGGACTAGGCCTGTCTCAGAAGTACCCTGCTCTTTCCCAATGCCATTTCACCTCATTTCTAAATAAACCACATTCACTGGTAACAATATATATATGTAGAGTATATTGAATGATTGAAGAAGGAAGACAACTTGAAAAACACGTTTATGCTCTATTATTACAAAAAGCAAGTTTGAATGGTTACGTGAACAACCCTCTAATTTCTTTTTTTGTGTAGAATAAAACATCTATTCTTTGCATTTCAAAATTGTTTAATGTTGTTGGGATGATGTGACAGATGCATTGTGTTCCCATAGAATGTGCGTGAGAATGGAACGTGCCAAGATGGTTGATATCGGACGTGGTATGTAACTTCATTTTGTTTAGGGTTTGCGAGTTTTTTATCAAACACAAACAGAAAACATCATAGAAAATGGTATCTTAAGCAGAGTACTATGTGACAACCTATTAAACAGTATGCTACACTGCAAGCTACATCTGTGGAATGTATTCTAAATACTGCACTGGCACAAGCCATACTTTCTTGAGACACATTCAATTTTTTCCGGAGTAGTAAACTGTGTCAATTATGGAAGCAGTGGCAACTTTTTTATCATCTTCACTCCTCCTTTCTTGGCATCACAAAGGCAGTGCATGTACACAGTGAGCAATGTTACCACTGAGTGGTTACTATATTGCTAGGGATGCTCTGAATATACAAAAAAACTTTTTCTGGCTGCGCCGTAACGAAGGCACAGCTGAAGCTCATCTGTTGGTCAAGCTACTCTTTAAGAGCATGGTGCTGAGCTTTTGGGTCCATTCTTTTCGTGCAATTGCCACACTGGCAGATTGTGTGCTAAAAGCTCTTGCTTTCACAATTGTAATTATTTGGGCACTCCAAGCAGAGCCCCTTGTAAACAATCCAACGACAGTTTGCCATGAATTGCTGATGTTTTGTCTCCAGCATGGGTATGCACTGATTTGCGCCCCCTTGATAACTTATTTTCCTGATAACCGTGTTAAGAAAAAACAATGCTATCACCTTGTCTTTGTCACTACCAGTCGAATGGGTTCTGGGAGGAAGGAAAACTAGAGATAAAGTGGCATTTCGAGAGACATCTCCGGGACACACAACAATGACAGGTAGAGGCTTTTGTCTACTGTCACAATGTTTTATAGCTCAGTACCCCTCTCTTTTCTAAAGTGCCGACTGTCCTTGCATGAAAAAAGAGTGTCAACAAAATAGAAACCTTGCGGACAGTCGGGCGGCTGGAACCATATTGCAAGTAGCTGCCAGTGCCACTCATTCATTGTGCTTTAACTCACAGCCGTAGTGAAGACTTATGACAACCCTGCAGGCTAGCCTGTAAAACTTCCTGCTGATATAGGGGCATGTTCCTTTGAGAAAGTACTCCTACAAGTGACCCAGTTTGTGCATGTTCAGGCTGGTCCTCTAACCTAGGAGATCGGTTCACAATGAAGCCTGCAAGTGTCCTTGTGAACAGAGGCATAATGTTGCATTTTTGAAAGAAATATACTTTCTTAGTGCGCAGGGAACGTTTCAGAAGGAAGAAAGGGCAGAGAGGTAGGGAAGAGCACTCTGTCCCATCTCTCTGCTCTTTCTTCTGAAACGGTCCCGGCGCACTAAAGAAGTATATTTCTTTCAAAAATGAAATACCAACCAGCCCAAGTAGCCACTCTTTTGCATAATGTTGAAGAAGAGGATGAGCTTGCTGTGACTTATATCATGCACCCCACAAAGTAGCTGGCATAGCATATGCATGCCAGTGTTGTACCCACAAGTGCAGCCAAAGTGCTGGGAAGATAGCTGTACCACGCATAGAGTGAAGACCGCAACAGTACGAAGTGAGATGTAGGGCTTGTCAATCTCGGGAAGACCATAAAATAAAGATGGTTTTCTTTTACTGGAATCATAATTCATTCAACACAGTGAAAACAAATGAGCAGAGCAACGTAAACCAACTATCAGTTCAGTTCAACGCCGTCATAGCAGCAAAAGCTAGGACTGGAGTGACAGCCTCCAGCCAACTAATCTCACCAGCGAAACCTGCTCCTCGACACCATCACTACCTTCCCAGTTGGTCGGTGAAAGGAGTTTAATACTACACATTGCCACTTTCGCTGTCAGTGGCCCAGAAGAAAAAATAAAGATGATTCCATAACATCGTGAAATAAACTCATTTTTTTGTTACAGCTTTTTGAAAGTCTTGCATAAAAAAACTGCATGAGTTCCTCTTTTGAGAGTCAGGACAGACATTTTTTTTTTTTTTAATCCATTCATGTCAAGAAATATTGCAGGGGTTTGTCACATTGCAATAAAAGGACTGTTTTTATGATATCATGCAGGATTTAGCAGAGTAGAATAAATTTACAGAGAGTGGAAAACATACCTTCTAGACCAGGCTTGAAGTACTGGTACAACCAGTATCGACTCTCTGAAAAAAAAAAAAAAAGAGGATACATACCAAGCAAGATGTGCTGGGAAGTAAAGCACTCTAGTCAAATAGACTGAAAAACTAAGTTTGGAGAATTAGATCCTCATTCATTTTGGGATCATAGGGAATTAATCAAAAGAAAACAGCAAAAACTTAGTTTTGACTGCTGCACCAAAACAACACCATTTGAATGTCAGCACAATGCCACAAATTACAAGTTTTTCTTTTCATATCTTGATCGCACTGGCTCAATGGAATTTTTCCTGACTTGCTGTCTTAAGCCTCTCGCATCCTCACAATACTATATCCTCCACTTCAATACCTACTATATCCTCCACTTCTACAATAAATAATGATGCAAGCCCAAGCAGATGCTACCAAGGAGCTGTGACATCATGGCTTGGTGCAAAAACCTAGAGGCACCACATCCACTTACTCATGCATCACCAATCAAGAGCAACCCCAGGTGGTCGAAATTTCCAGAGCCCTCCGCTACGGCGTCTCTCATAATCATATGGTGGTTTTGGGACGTTAAACCCCACATATCAATCAAATCAACCAATCAAGTGCACCCTTGAGTCAACGGTAGTTCTACAAGTGTTTAATACCAATTTGAAAGATAATTATTATTTAATCAAGTACCTAAGCCGATCCTCTCCTCTGGGTTGCTCATTTTATTTCACGTGCCTTTCGAGACCACTGGTGAAATCTTGTCCTACTCAAGGGATACGTTCAATCAGGTTGCACTTGCTCAATCCCCCCGTAGTCACTTCGCTAAGCTTTCTTTTTGACGAGTACACATTCTAGACACGGCTGCAGTTATTTTCTGTGTACTTCACCTCTGTTCAATTTTATTCAGTTATTACACTTTATTAGACCATTCAGTTACGAGGCAAGGACGGAAACAAACAGGAGAGAGGCAGGCAGGCGAACCAGGTCAGTCACACGCTAAAAATTGTCATGCGTGCAATCTTTAACGAGTGTTCTTGAAGAACAATGTACGAGTTGTGCAGCGATATCGTGGCCGACGCCTTCTGACAATAACTTTAAGGCATTCCCAAGACCGGACCATGATCGGCTAGTTCAGTAGCATATGTTCAATTTTCCATCGCTTGATATTTCAAAATATGACCGATATATTGCGACAGCATCATCTTTACTTTCAATTTATGGCAGCATACGGCGGCGATCTTTTTTCTTCTACCAGCCAACCAGCAGGGTGCAAGTTCCATTAGACTGAGTTCAAGCTGGTTTCTGGAAGATGGAACGGTAAAGCTTTTATTTTGTCACTTTATTGGAGAGCCCCGCGAGCAAGACAGGAATCAAGCAGGACAGTAACTCCCGTTACGGAAAGTCGAAGAGAACAGTATAAAATCACGCCTCTGTCTGTGAGTAGAATCACTCCCTACCTTGAGATTGACTAAGGTGCCGGAAGTAACAGTAGCAGCCAGCAAGGGCACTACATTGTACTGCTGTCACTACGACCCAACCAGTGCCGAGGGATTGCACAATTCTTCTCCAAGCCCCGTCCTTCCGATGCATTTAACTAAGAGGGAGAGAGCACGGTTGGGTGACAACATACCAAACACCACCTACACACCCCGATACACCAACAACGGCCGTCTCCGCGCCGATGATGCATGCTCCACGGTAGAGTGTACTAGAAGCGTTGAAGTGGCGAGACCGCGCCTCGCCGCCTGATCCCTTCCGCGTTGCCCGTAGCGGCGGCGCTGCAGTCGAATAGTACTAAAAGAGCCACGCGCAGGAACTGCTATGTGCTTCGACTACTCTAGAGCGTTTTTTTTTTTTTTTTTCATGCAGATTTCTTCGTACGGGCCCAAAGTTCATGTCTAACACATAATGTCATAACCCTTAAAGGCTGAAACGCCAAAATACTGAATTTGAGCTTCATAAAAGTCATTTTGAGAGATCAAAAATTATTTAGGAACGGCGCGCCTTATTCTGATATCTTCTGTCTTGACTCTTTTTTCGTTGGTTAGGCGTCTACAATACTCACAATAACTGAGCCGACTTTTCGGAAGTTAGCTGTGCTCAGAAAGCTGTGAAATGAAAAAAAAACAGTACCGCGGCCAAAGCGAGCACAACCATGAGGCCATAAGTAGAAAGGAAAGAGGAAGGGAATCTGAGCCCCCTGCACCAGGATTTTTTTTTTTTCGTAATTTAACCATTCAGGTTATACTAAAATGTTCAGCACGCATTCACAGCGACCATAAATTACCAAAGTTAGTCGTTCTGCTGCCACTCCATCCCCTCAAAAAAAAAAAAAATATCCTGGATAACGCTGCGCCAAGAGATTACAGTTGGCGAAGCTGAATATAGCGTGTCTCTACATATGCGCACTGTAGATTTCACCTTTTCAACAGTATGAGCAAGGTGTCAAAGCTAATTCAAGTCTAACGGGACCGGATGATAAATGCACCGCGGAAAAATAGCGCCTGTTATAAGGGGCATTGCACGGATGTTGTTAATGGGGCGACGAACTTGGGTATATATATATATATATATATATATATATATATATATATATATATATATATCGATGAAATAGATGATCAGAGTTTCTTCCGGCTACCGTAAAAAAAGTTATAAACTTCGAGAATAGTGCAGTATAGGAAACAAAACAATAAAATATTTAATTAATCCTAACAAATTCGGCTGGTGGACCAGCCTTCTTCGGAGGATGTATTACATCCTCCAAAGAAGGCTGGTCCACCAGCCGAAACTGTTAGGATTAAATAAATATTTTATTGTTTTGTTTCCTATACTGCACTATTCTCGAAGTATATATATATATATATATATATATATATATATATATATATATATATATATATATATATAAGGGAAAGAGGTGCATACCTAAGGGCTCGTTTTTCCGTGTTTTGACACAATATTAATGAGATCTAACAGACAGTAGTGCCAAGGAATGTATAGGGGAAATTATTAGAACCAATGGAATGTAAATAAGAAGAAAGAAGAAAGAAAAGTGGATGAAAAATTACCAGCTGTGAGCAGGAATCGAACCTACGACCTTCGAATAACGCGTTCGATGCTCGAGATCTTATATATATATATGACGCTATGATGAATGGGCGACGTGGCTGCGACAGACGCTTTGCTTCTAAAATGCGTGCTTCTTGACGGATTGTGACGGCGTGATGCCTGCGGGCTGGCGGTATGCAAGAAGTGCTTCCGCATCTTTCTTGGCGTTTTCCGTGGTGTTGCAGTCTGTGTAACTGCAGGCGCAGGGAGCGTCTCTGGCGACTTTCCTCTGTGCGAGAAAATTTGATGTCTTGGAATACTTTTTGGGTTAGAGATCTTATTTTCCGCTGTTCTTCAATTGGTGAGTGTGCTTCCGTTGAATTTCGCGTTCTTCGATGCCTTCGTTGCAGTCTATTTTGTTGTCGCATGAGGTTGCGCGCTGGGTTATGCTTGCTTTGCTGATGCTGCTCAGGAGATGGCTGTAGTGACAAGCCTTCCGGAATGGGACATTCATTTACTTTGAGGTTTGACGCGTCCTGTAGACAGCTGATGAATGGTGAACTGGTGTCTTGCTTATCGGGCATAGTTGGCAATGCGTCATCATTGCTAGCATGCTCTTCAGAGGCTTCGGTGACGGGGTTCATTAAGGGCGCTTCCGAAAGACAACTGTGTACAAGGTTTGATGTATCATGCACTTCTGAATTTGTTCGATTCTTGGATTGGTGACCACTGCATGAGGGTACCACATGTGACGTCGCATCACCAGGTTGAAAATGCAAATTTTGGCAAGTCTGCGGTGCCGTGGAAATGAACTCTTGCGACAAAAAACATTCAGAGTTGACAGATAGTTCATCAGGGGCTTCTTCTTCGCGGCTCACTATGGGTGGTTCTTGCGCCGGGTAGCAAGCGACGTTCGATGCGTATGAGCCTTCTGTGTTTGGAGTTTCTGGTGGCTGCGCACTGGACTGCAACATTGAAACAGGGGTAGTTCGGTAGGGTTTGAGTTGTGAATGGCCCTCTTTCTGTGCAACTAACGATGCGAGCTGTTCTGGCGCATGAATCTGGGTGGTAAGTCCAGGGCTTGGCGTAGCATCGTCCGACCTCCGCAGCTCTATCCCGACCATTGTGAGCGTGCTAGATGTGAGATGGACATTGTGAGCGATGAAAGAGCCAAGGGATGGAAAACAAGGAGGCGGGCCAAGTCTGCGAGATGGGGAGTAAGCTGCTCCAATGAGTGAAGACTGATTTTCACTCTTTGAGTCATCTTGGCGTTGTTTGGTATTTCCCCCATTTGTCAGCTGGTCTACCATGAACAATGCGTCCTTATGAGACGAATAGTGACCGTTAGGAGCCTTTGAAGAGCTGCGTCGAAGAAAACCAGGTGGTGGACCATGTAAGCGAGACGAAGCATGAAAGGCGCATCACAAGGGTGAGCGACGTATCGTGTCGTATGTTGGTGCCACGACTTTGGAAATGCTGACTTTCGTGAAGAGAAACCTGGTGGAACGCCACGTTTCTTGAGAAATAGGCGTGGACTGTGACGGCCGAGTGTGGTTGTATGCAGATGGTCGTTAATGAAAAAGTCCTTGTCGTAGTCGTTAAAACGGGCAGTTATCTATCTCTTCCCTGATCTTTTACCATGATTCGTCGTTTTCGAATATGTGTGTCAGGTAAAACTTGAATGCCTCACCTGAGATGTAGTCAGTGAAGTTGGTGATCATCTCCCGTTCCGACCAGGATGCAGAGGCAGCGTGGAGCTCGAACAGGTTGAACCAGTCCTGTACGGGTCCGTCGTCCGCTGATCCGGTGTACTTGGGGATGTCAAGGTCGTCTGATGGAGCTGTCATGATGCTGGTCTTTGTGTAGAGTTGGGATGTACTTTTGTGGTCCACGTTCGGTCACTGCGTCTTGCTGAGACGTTCGAAGATGGTGGCCGGTTGATGAAGTGGCCGCCAGGTCTTCATCCTGTCGACTCGTGTGACGCTATGATGAATGGGCGACGTGGCCTGGCTCATACCCCATGTTTATTCCATTCTGCACTTCTTCCTCCTCAGCTTCTACCAAACATCACTTCATACGTCACACACACACACACACACACACACACACACACACACACACACACACACACACACACACACATATATATATATATATATATATATATATATATATATGTGTGTGTGTGTGTGTGTGTGTATTAAAGTGAAATTTCTCAAAACAATATGCACCACTACCTGCCTACACTTTTAACACATAATAAAAGAACTACACTTATAATACAAAACATCGTCATAAATTTGCTGGCTTGAATTTGCGTTATGTTCATAAAATTTTTGGAAAGCAGCACAATTTAAGCAGTCGATACAAAATGAGAACTGGTTAGAGTGAACTTACGCAGATTACCAGACGGGCTATATATACAAACGGGATTTTATAATATGTTTAAGATAACTACTTTCGCGTAGAGTTCATGACTTGGAGGTACACGCATTCCTTCAGCTCGGCTCCCACCTAGGTTCGAATTCCTGGTAAAATAACCACTTGGAGGTTGCATAAATGAAGCAAAGTAAGCGCCAAAGCACGTGGTTAACACAACATAAGCATTTCGAAAGCATTATTTTCTATTTTCCACAAAACTGGCATGATAAAACTGATCGAGTCACCGATATCAATGTTGTGACAGCGTTACTTACACTCGGGTTTCTCATGAGGCAATCGAGCGCATGTGGACTTATATGAGGAACAGTGCTCTGGGTATCACGACTGTCGACAAAACGAGTGTGTGATTTAATGGCGGTTTTAAGTTCTGATACTTATCCTTTCTTTGCAGTTCGCCAGTAGCCACTTATGATGTAGCGCAACTCAAAGCACTGCTTGAGTGAGAAGCTAGACGGATCCGTGCAAATTCCGATTGTACATGTGTGCGTGTTTTTTTTTTTTTGTTTGTTTGTTTGTTTTTTTCAGGGGAAGGGTCGGTAGGCCTTTCAAACAGTGAATGTCTCAACGCTATTTCGGCGCGGCGTGCCTGCACATTCCCTCGTGCGCCATGGCACGTAGCAGGTGTGCATACACTACTAAATCCTTATAAACGCATTAAACGCGCTAAAAACGAGCAGTTACACGCTGTCGCAGGCTACGGAGCACGCGCCCACAGAGCAGACGCTCCCGAGATCTTCAGTACTATGCGACTACAGCGCTGCTGCTACTGTCACCAGCCGGAGAATCAGCCGATATGCGGTGCGGCCGCGTCGTTCACTCCACTGCCCCCTTCTAGACTCTAGTACACTGTATCCACGGAGGAACCTTACCTTCCTCCGTGACTATGTATCCCACCACGAAGGAAGGAAAAAGGTAAGAAGAGGGCATGCTTGCCGGCGCAGGGCGTGAAAAGTGTGGCGGAAATGACATCATGGCTGCCATATTCACTAGGCACAACGGCGGCGTTGCTATGGTTACGGGTTGCGCAGTGGAGCTGGTCTCGCAGTGAGCCGCCGCGGCTGGCGGCGGAATGTGTGCCTCCCCAGGTCTCGTGCTGAGCCTTGGTGGACAATATCTGTGCTCTGCGCCGCGTTATTGGTTACGCAGTGTTCTCCTGGCAGTTACATTGCTCTTAGCAACGTTTACAAATCCTCGTCCATCACGGGGTTTCAACAGTGCGTAGAACAAGTGCATATCCATATGTGTCGTGCGGCGGATGACGCGGATGAAGCAGATAGTGTTCAGCGAAATTGCGTTGGGCACCATGATGAAGCTGAATGACGACGAACGCCTTGCAGGTCAGTGACGGTTGAGCAGTGTTCCTGCTTGTGACAACGGACGACGCTGTTGGGCCCAGCAAGACGCCATGAGGACCATGTGCACATACGTAGTTTCGTGTTGTGTGTGTACAGTAACAGCTTGCATGTGCGTATTAAAACATCTTTTCTGTTCCGCTTGGTACACTCTCTACCAGCATTGCATGTAGTCTCCACGTAACAGCAACCGCGTTCAACTGTCACTAGCACCGTGCTCAAAGTCACCACGGTCGCAGAATGCTGACGCCGGTGAGTTTCACGCGGAACACGGACACAGTGGCAGGACGCTGCGTCGGCCGCGTGGCGGAATGCAACCGTAGAAGGCGCACGACCGAGCGTGTTGTCTGTATACAGTTGCTGAATTAATGACGTGAAAGCACTCGCCGTTGTCAGTGCATCTAGCACGCGTTCTCTCGTAGTTGCTTCGTTGTCGGCGAGCTGTTACTCCCTGTTATTACTCGGACGAAGCGATTTCGCTGAAGGTGTCCCGCAGGCTCAGAGGAATGAGCCCCGTTCCATTAGTTTCGGATCGTCGCGACACACGCGCTGCGCAGCCCACGTGCTTTCCGAGCCGGAGAGAGGTTCGTGCCTTCTGCTTTACATTCGGATGTAAACAAGCGAGGAAAATTTGCCTAGTCAATATGGCCGACTTCCGGCTTCATCCCGGCTTCACACGGAGGAAGGCACCTCTGTGCCGGCTTCACAGCGAGTGACGTCAGGGTTTCTCCTTACCTTTCCTTCCTCCGTCTATCCCACGGAGGATCCGTGGGTCACGGGCACGTTTTCTTTTAGGCAGAACATGATTTACCAACAAAACAAAGTACGCCCGTTTTAATGCAGGATTTTTTAACGCGCTCGGAAAATACCAGCTGCGAATGCTTAAAGATATCTAAAAGAATAAAAACTATTTTTTTAGCAAATTGGGCAACCGCGAAAAAAAAAAAAAAAGAGGGAATAATAAATTCCCTCGGAGAGCGGGGTTCTTCATTGGGATAGGCAGGTAGCCAGAAGCTTAACATACCAAGTTTCAAGAAATTTCGTTGTGAGTGTGTGGTGAAAGTACGAAAGAAAGTGCTATTCTGGACCCTGTCGAGTTCCGCCATATTTAGAAGTGTGGCAGCTTGGGCTAGTTGGTATGGCATGACGATAGTTATAGCGCGAGAACAAAACGACGACACAGAGACCTTCGTGTCCTTCTTGTCTCTGTGTCGTCGTTTTGTTCTCGCGCTATAACTATCATCTGCGATATTGTCAAATTTCGTAATGGCGGCATTTTAAGCCTATCAGAGATGTCGTATCAGATCACTTGGCCAATTAGCATCGACCAATGGTGGAATTTGACAACACAATAGCACCCAGCGCGGAGGAAGGAACCTTTCCTTCCTCCGTGGCACCCAGAAACACGTTAAAATCCATGACGTCATCATGAAAAATAACAGCAGAAAATTTAAAAGTGGGTCTTTTGCCCGATTTTTGTGTCTATTAACCTTATATGACGATGAAATTAACGACAGTGTAGTTTTTAGGTTGTAATGTGTCTGTCTAAACTAATTTATTGTTTATCTTTAATGTCGCTCCAACTTAACTTTATCTTAACCTTAATCTTGATCTTAGAGGCGATCTGGCTGTCTAGAAAAAACCGCTTGAGGTCCGGATGAAGAAAACCTTTCCTTCCTGCGTGGTTTGCAGGCTTCTCTGAGGTGATCAATGGCGTTCGTGGCACAACGCTAGGGTGGCTAACAGCGCTCAGCGACAGGAAGTGCAAGGATCGCTTTACTACATATCGGATATATGCGCCCACGGGGGCAAGAAGCTTAACATACCAAGTTACATAACAAACACGTGGCACACATATGTGCTCCTCAATGCTCGCCCCCCCCCCCCTTTTTTTTTTTGCCTGGATAGAACATTTGCAAAAGGACTTGAAGGGGTCCTGGGGCATTGCCATTAGCCATTCCTTGTACTTATCCTCTGTAAGCCAACTCGGCCTGAAGCGTTGTTTGCACACTTTGCTCTAGATCTTGTCTGTAATGTTGTACGAGTTTCTGTAGCACACTCACACGTCGCACACTCACACACACAAAAAAGGACGAGCGTCACAAACAAGCGCTTGATTCAGTGCGCGCCGTCGCTTGCAGAAGCCGGCATAAAATATCGGCGCTAAATTTCCCCAGTGAGCGAAAAAACTTAATTGCAGCCATCAAAAGCTGCGACGCAGCGCCAGGCGCTGATTAGGCGAATGCGAACAGTCAGCGAAGACATCCCCTCGCCCTTGAAGCGGCCGTCGCGTCGGGATTTTAGAGAACTGCTGAATGATCACGAGAAAAAACATCACGTGACGCCGAGAATCCCAGCCTCGGTTGGAACCTGCCAGAAGAAGACTCGGAGGTCGCACTCGCATGAAAACGCCTCACTAACAAAATCCAAAAAGTTGCAGAAGGAAGCGAGATTCACAAATGTTATGTATAGCATACCGTTTTCTTCTGTTAGAGTTGTTCATAGGACATGCATGCATATAATTTTGGTTTCCAAACACAAAAGTTGCTAATGGCACCCTTTACTCGAAACGACCGCTACATTGACGCTAGTCGAAAGCGCCGAGGCGCACACCTGACGGAAGAAGGAAAGATAGGAGAGGGCATGCCCGGCACAGAGCAACACCGACTAGATTTAGTCGGTGTTGCACAGAGGCAGCGTTGCTATAATTATGCGCATGGAAGAGGCCACGGAGGAAGGAAATGGAGGAGGCTGAGGAGAGGCTCTATCGTACCCAATCATGAAGGAAGGAAGTTTTTTCTTCCTCCATGTACAGTGTTCACCCCCCTTCTAGAACACTGTACTTCACGTGTACCATCGATTAGATTATGATGCTAATTGTTGTGTTCTGGGGAGCCCCCGACACAGCACTAATACCGTAAAAAACTCTATTGCTAATACATTTTTCTTGACGCATGTGCATACCAAACACAAGAAGCGCAAATCTGCTTAACGCAACTTTATTAGTGAATACTGGGTGAACAAAGTGGTGTGCCAAGATATTTGATTGACAATGTGGGTTTTGTGACAAGGCTCCCAGGGGGCGCCACAAAACACCTACCAGTTGCGCATCATCATGGCGCCGTACTCAAAGAAAGTTTGATATCGCGGCTTCGTCAACCATTCGTTTGTTGTGACGCCCTTCAACTAAGTGGCCTGTTTTGTCCGTAACATTGGAAAATAGAAAATGTGACATGGCACAGACACCTTCTCTCTTTCCTGCGTATGCGACTACGAAGGCAGCAACTTCGGAGAGTGACGCCAAGCCGACGTTGTTCCAAAGTTTCAGTTCATCAACACCGGGCACCTCGGACAGATCAGCAGCTACAGAGAGTAGGTTCCAGTATTTTGTTTCCCGAATTTCATTACACAGTGAACACCTCACCTTATCGTTTGATTGCCTTTTGACTTGGCCCCAAGTAGCATCAGTGCCAGTTGCATCCCATTTATCTCATTGGAGCTGTGACCACCACAAAGCGATCGGCGATGTGCTTCGAGCTGACCTTTCACTTGTGTATGGTTGTCGGTTCTGCTGCATAAGAGGGCAGAAACGGGCTCGCTAGTGGAGTCCAGGTATCAATGCCTTAAGTTACTGTATATGCTACCTTTAGGCAGTGGCGTACCAACTCTTTCGCGAGTGGGGGTGGGGGGCAAACCTACCTCAATCCAGCTGGGATATATATATATATATATATATATATATATATATATATATATATATATATATATATATATATATATATATATATATATATATATATATATATATATTATGACGTCTGGATTGAGACAGCGGTTATTCAGCCCAAGGGCTCAGCAACGAATGGGCAAATGGGCAGTCTGAGACCGAGCTTGCACACACCCGATGATGATTGTGGTGACCCCCAGTGAAGATGAGGACAGGGACCTAGACGGATGATGATGATTATGATAATGCATATATGAGAAGCGCATAATGAATGCCCACACCAAATGTGTGTGTGTGTGTGCGTCAGGAGAGAGAACTTCATCGACGTGCTCGCACTTTGATATTAGCACACGACAAACTTTAAGGGCCTGTAACCCACCCAGAGGTCGAAATTTAGTTTTGGTGGGGAAATTGTGCACGAGTGTACGACGAACACACAGGCATGAGAATTTTTCGAAACAGTGCAGTAATAGCGGAGTTTGGCGCGTTTGATTATCGAATCCGTGACTACCACACCTTTCGTTCTCTCCTGTGGATTCCTCCGCTGGTATCTTCTCCCAAGCCGCTTTGCCCTCTCGCCGAGTGTTCCTCCCAATCTCGCGTGGCATACGTCATCGCTGACGTGCTGCTTGACACACCGTTTACTTCAGGTTGCCGCGACCCAGGCTGTCGACTTCGTCAGTGGCATTGTAGCTGCGTGCTTGTTGGTGAACAGTGGCTGCTGTAATTGTGCCGGTATGGACCCTGCGTTGTGTGCACGCCTTCAAAAAACGCCAACAGGATGGACCCATCTAGGGACACGCCGTGCCCCGCACGTGTTGCACGCACACGGGCAACATGACGAGCAACAACAAGCAGCGCGGACAGCTGCTTGCAGACTGGCCGGAAGTCGTAGGCTCTTGCGTGACCAATCACAGCATATTTAGAATATTTGGCTCGGCGCATCGCGCGTAAGCCCCAAAGGCTCGGAAAGGAGGAGGGATTGCTTCTTGGAATTTGTGGCCTGCCGGTGGCTTGTAGCGCTGCCACGTGTAGAATTGCTGATCACGACGGCATTTTGGGCACAATGCACGCATTTACTACAAATGCTTGAAAAAATATCGGAGGTGGTTAGGTGGTTAAAAAATATCGGAGGTGGCATATTTAGAATATTTGGCTCGGCGCATCGCGCGGAAGCCCCAAAGGCTCGAAAAGGAGGAGGGATTGCTTCTTGGAATTTGTGGCCTGCCGGTGGCTCGTAGCGCTGCCACGTGTAGAATTGCTGATCACGACGGAATTTTGCGCACGATGCACGCGTTTACTTCAAATGCTTTAAAAAATATCGGAGGTGGTTTACGGGCCCATTATACATCATAAACGATTCATCACACTCATCGGCTCGCAACAGCTTCGACAAAGCAGCAGTGATGATATAACCTTTTTGGAGAAAATTATTTTAAGAAAGCAGCAAATGCTTTGACTGGTCCTTAAAAAGTTTGCTTGTTCCCACCTATAACTTCAGCAAGAAGTCGCACCAGAATAAAAGCATGAACAAGTGATGCAATATGATAGGACCCCTGTTCTGCACTTGCCTGCTCTGCAATACTAGAGCACAAGACGCGAAAGTATCACATAGGCGACCCACACCGCAAAGCGCCTACAAGGAAAGACATTACAGCGAAGATGTTGGCAAAATTTTACTATGTTGTAACATTGCCTCGTAACATTCTCACTCTCCCGTAAGAACATAATTGAGTGATTAATGCTGTGACGAAAAATTTCGCCTTGTTAATTTCCTCAGCATGCAGCCAAGAGTGATCACTGTCGAAGAGGGGGGATTGTGCCTCTTTAGCCCCCCCCCCCCCCCCCCCGGGATAATATGCCTATGCCTTTAGGTAGCATATACAGTAACTCTGTATAGGTGGTATTCACCTCCGAGCAACCCTGTGCTCCCACAGCCTACGCTTCGGATATCCACACAGCGTGCGGGCAATGCGGGGAAGGCACTACTTTCGGCCACCATGATTAGGGCCATGTACACATGTGTGTGTCTTTGCGTGATACTAAAGTTGAGCCGTTTTTTCTAACCACCATCCGTTATCGCATTTGATTGTGCCGTATTTGTGTGCTGCCATCGCACAAAACGGAAGGGTGACGAGCTTGAGAACGCAAAACCAGTTCAGTTTTATTCCTGGCCGAACGTTATTCGCGGCTATGTAGCCGTACACTGCAGGTTGCGGCGAAGCGTAGTGAGTGATTCAGCGGTCTTTGCCAGGCTGATTTTGAGAAGGCTGTGGGGATGGAAATCACAATAACACAGTAAATGCAGTCAGTTTCAATGCTCTGGCAGAGACGTCTGCAAAAAGCACAACACTGCAAAGTACTCCATGTTGGACTGTTAGTATTAATACATGCGCAGTACACAGCAAGCTTAAATTAAAGCCACACACTCTTATTTTTCTTGCTAAGGTGACCTGGCTCAGTACACTTGCATCAAGGCACAGGTGGCTTGTAACCTTGGTCTAGTGAACAATTTAATGCTCCTGATACTTTTCACTCGATTGATCAAAGCCGTGAATGAGCCAACAACGTCGAATTTTCAGTCTCATTGGCACTTTACCACAATCTAATCTGCCCCATGCAATGGTGTTTTCACGTGCAAGTTCGTAAGCGCTGTTAAGCCTGCCACTTCAACTAGATTCGCAAAACATTGCACTAGTATCAAATTCATGGGTGAACTCGACTTTAGCGCTTACAGATAGAATAGAACTTCAGATTATCTTACCTTGGCATTCACAGCAACGCAGTCACCGTGACTTTCCAGCAAAGGTTCATGGATAGACCCATTTGTCAAGCATCCAACGATTTCTTGGCTTTAAGTCGTTCACGCGTCACAAAACTTGTCGTATATGCAGCAAACAGTTCTTTATGTCTCAGAGTTCCGCATACTAAACAAGTCCGGTGTTAAATGCGCCTCCTCGCTCGTCAGAATGAGTGGGTCAATGCACACTGCAGAGAGCCACTTTGTCCATGTATCGCTGTTATGCATCGGCGTCCAATTTTTCTGCGTACATGCTCAAGCAAGCCAAGCACGCATCGCCCATGGCTGCAGCAGCTTCACAAATGGTAAAGCTCGTACCTTCTAAATACAAATAAAATAAAACGAGATCAACGTGCCCGCAATAACTTGTGCGCACCTGTTGGAACCACCAGACTCGACTGCAGGTATGCCGTCGATATAGGCGGCCTTCAAAATGGTCGCCATGGGGTTGCCAGCGCAGCTTGCCCACTTTCCGCTGGCTGCGCCCGCCAAGTTGACGTCACGTGAATACAAATTATAAGGTGGCTTATACAGTAACTTTATCATGGATGGATTGATATGGCTGTGCCCCTTAGATCGTGCGGCGGCTAACGCCTCCTAGCTGTACTACTTAGTCAACAAACACTAGATTTATCTTTTTTTCTCCTCTAAATAGTGAAGTTGAGGACTGGCGCTTTGCAGTGAAGGATTTAATTTCCACTCGTACTTTGATAGTAGCCAACAAGTAGATAACCTCCTCCTAATTATTTCTACCCGCTTAATGTCTATTTTGCCCTCCATGTCCCTAAACCACAGTGCTTTGAGCTTTTTAAACTCTGTGTCATCATCCTGAATTATAGGGTGAAGCCCTTTACAGAACATTATCAAGTGTTTCGCAGTTTCCTCCTCCTCTCCATGCGCACTGCATACAATGTCTACCCCTTCGTACTTGGCCTGATAAGTCTTGGTTCGCAATACTCCTGTCCTGGCCTCAAACAGTAAAACACTACCACGAGAATTATAGATACTTTCCTTGGCAATTTCCTGATTATAAGTTAGATAGATCACGAGTGTCGACATCTTAATTATGCCAATTCTTCACGTTAGCCCTCCGGTTCCTTCACCTTCTTCTTAACTGATATTTTGTTTTTGGTTTGGCTCCCTGCTGTTTTCCAAGTATTTACCCGTCAGTTTTCTGGTTCGCTTCCTCCATTTTGTATCGACATTCCTCATGTTCGAGGATTGTCGATACAAACCTTCTTAGCCCAACGTTCCTCCCCCATTTCTATCAATGGCTTCTCAAATTTTATCTTGCTGCTAGCTTCCTTGCCCTCAAATGATGTCGATCCCAAATAACCTTGTACTCCCAGATTTCGTGCATTCCAATGAGCTCCTAAAACAAGCCTATCTGTACCACGTTGTTTAATTTCTAATCTTGCTTGAACCTCTGATCTTATCCACAAGACTGCATTGCCGAACATCAGACTAAAAACCATGACCGCTTCCCAAATTCCTCTCACAACATTGCACCTATTGTATTTCCTCAGTGCCCTATTTTTCATAACCGCTGCATTCCTGTTACCTTTAGTCGTTATGTATCTTTCGTTTTCCCTTAGGTACTCGGCCCCATTGCTTATCCATACGCCCAGATATTTGTATTTATCTGTTATCTCTAGCGTGACCTCCTGCATTCTAAGCTCACTACCTTCATTATCATTAAAAATCATGACTGCTGATTTTTCCTTACTGAATCTCAACTCTAACCTATCTCTCATTACTGTAGATGTCTATCAATCCCTCCAAATATTCTTTGTTGTTAGCCATTAACACTATATCATCTTCTTACATCAATGCTAATAGTGCCTG